CTCAGTGAAGCAGCTGGAGCCATGGCCCACGGGAGCCCTTCCACCCGGGCAGCCCCAGGGCCTCCCTCCCTGCCACTATGGGGGGAGCAACCCACAAGCACAGCAGCCTGTATACCCCTGCCTGCCTGTCCCTGGAGGCATCGGTGCCCCAGGTGCCCCTACCGCCACAAGAACGACCCCATACCTTCCTGACAATGTACCCCAGGAGAAAGGGGTGCATCAGGCTAGCGAGAGGGCCACAGGCACCCCACTGCTGTTCACTGCACAAATACAGCGCAGGCTGCATTAGCCCTTGCACCCAGCTCAGTCTGCCACTACCCCGGAGGGCTTTGTAAAGCAGCATCCAGAGGAACTGATTTATTTGCAACATCATTTTATGCCAAACAGAAAACTGACCATAAGGTCTCCCCCCGGGCACAGTTACGAGTGTAGTGGTGTTTTCCCTGTGGAGTTGAAAAGGGCATTTGAAGTTGTTGCTAAGTGTGGGGTGGTTGTAATTCTCTATAAGCTTCAGTAATGAGTCATTTCTCTCTCCGTTTCCACTTTGGACATCAACCCGCTACTTTAATCACATGGCACTCTGGGTGTTTGGGGTTTTTTTGGTCTTTTAATCATGGTATTCCCAAAGGCTCAGCTATTAATTACAACTATTTTATTACTAAACAAAGGAAACAGAAGGAAGTTTAAAAAAAAAAAAAAAAAAGTAGCTACTTCAGCTACTATGCCTTCTACATCTCCAGACAGGCCACACATAAAAGACTGCCCTTTTGAGAGCAGGTCCAAGCTGGGAGAGGAGGCAGGGAGAAGCACAGTCCCTCAGCTAAGGTAAGAGGAAGTAAGCGAAGTTAAGTTTGGGAAGCAATATTTCCAAAATTAGTATCGGGCCTTCTCTCATCTTAAAACCAGTAACTACAGTAATCTGAAGGGGAGATAAGCCCAGATCAATTTATTGCGAATAATGTGAATAGCTTACGGGTGGGCAAAAGTAAGTGACTTTCACCAAATGGTACTGAACACAAGGAAGTAATAAATGTGCGTACTTAAACCATTTAAGAAGCTGTCTTCAGACAGACAAATATTTACATTATCACATCCAGAAGTAAATCTGCAACTCTTTTTTAATGAGAGTTAGCACATCTCTTCCTGTATGGAATAAATACTTAAAACTATTGAGACTCTAGCTGGTGACACTGTTACCTTTAAAAAAAAAATAACTCACCTTCTTAAATCGCTATGGGAAATTTTCTTCTAATAAAGAAAACGTCATAGGCACTGCTCATTCAAATCAGTAACAAAGCTCCCACAGACATCAACACCAGAGAAGGAGAGCCTTGGTGACCCTCACACCGCTGGGACAGGGTGGGAGCAGAAGACAGCTGGTTGTAAACAACTTACAGGGAAGAGGTATAAATCAAATGTAAACCAACAGCACAAAATCGTAAGAAAAGTCCTCAGAGCAACGTCTGTCCAGTCACCATATTTAGTTTCTGCACGCAGCGCGAGCCTCGGTGTCCTCTCCAGCCTAGGATGGCCAGGTTTTGGGGAGAGCTCTCCTCGCACCGGCAGATGATCCCCGTCCAGCATCACCCGCGGTACCAGCTCAGAAGGCATCACCCTGACGTTCAGCAGAGGGTTTTATGGGGCCGTTCCTTACCCACAGCGATGGCCTGCACCTGCTTGGTGAGCGAGCTCCAGCGGCACACCTTCCTCCCGGTGATGTCCACGCAGAGGAGAGCGCTCTCCCGCTCGTCCCAGACGGGCGACTCCCCAATGCGGTAGCCCTCGCTGGCAATGCACTCGATCTTCACTGATGACATGCCTGTGGGCAAACGTTAGTTAAAGCCTCTCGCACGTCCAACAACGCCTGTGTGTCTGTCTGTCCGTCTGTCCGCCCGTCCGTTCCCTTCACGCAGCCTGCGGAGAGCGCGGCCCGGCCCGCCGCGGGGGCGGGAAGGCGCCTGGGGCCCCCGGGTGGGTGCGCTGCCCAGCCTGGCACCACTTAAAAAAAAAAAAAAAAAATGAGGGAAAATAAATAATAAAAGGAAAAAAAACAATAATCCGGGGGTGCGGACGGGCGCCGGGCCCGGCGCGGGAAAGGCCCGGCCCGCCCCCCTCCTTCCCCCCGGCTACACAGGCGCAGCTCCCGCGGCGGCGGCGTTGCTGCCGTGCGCGGGACGGTGTAATTTAAACACACACACATATATATATGAAAGAACAGAGTAATAATAATAAAACACACACACACCCCTCGCCGGCCCTACCTGGGTCGGTGACGGCCGGGCCTCGGGTGCCCTCGCCGGGGGCGGCCGCCTTTCTCCCCTCGCCCCGCCCGGGGCTTCTGAGGCGGGGCCCGAGCCCGCCCTGTGGGCAGCTCTCCATGGACAACAGGGGTTGTGGAGCTGGGGAGGGGGTTGGCTGGGCTCCCCACTCCCACAGCTGCAGGGAGGAAGAAGAGGGAGAAGGGATTGCTCTCTGCCGCGGCCAAGTTTCTCTGCTCCCTGGAGAAGTCGGTTTCCGAAAGGCCTGGGTTCCGCGTGCCTTTTCCCTGGGGTGGTTTAAGCATCTGCTGGGCTGTGGCACCCCGACTTCCAGCACCAGGCATCGTTCTCCACAGCTCCTGCAACATTCTCCCGGTCCTCCAGAAATCCGGGGCCTTCAGCACGCCAAGCCCTCCTTCGCCACCCTCGCTGTAAAGTCTCAGAAACTACCACAGGCGTGAGGCAAAGGGCAGAGTTTCCACATTCAGTTCCTCATCATGCCTGCCTGACTCTGTGCTGTGGCCGCTGCGGCTCTCAGGCCAGCTCTTCCCATCGGCATCCCACAACAATTTGGCTTTTGACTTGGATTCAGTCATCCCCATAGGGATCTGTGATATAAAAATTACTTCGGTCTTGCTGCTCAGCATCTCACACATCTTCTCCAGAGTGCACCGGCTGGCTCACTGCTGTGTCCCCATGAACCCGCATTAAACGTGGCTGCTCCAAAACCTGCCTCGCTTCCCCAGCCAGGCTCTTGTTTCCAGCTCACGCTTTTAGCCGCCCCTTGATTCAAGGGGTGCAGCGCAGTGCTGCACAGCGGTGATCGCACAGCGCCCACCGGGGTCTTCTACCGGGCAGCCCCCTCACAGCTCATGTTACAGATTCTATCTGTTCCTTATCATGCACCTCGCTACCGGCAGTTATCTCCTGACCAGCATTTTTGCCGGATTACCTTTATTCATTCAGCAGGTGCTCACACCCCAGACTTCATTTGGTCACCTTTTTTCCCTGCTGGTGGTATATTTGGAAAGTTCATGGCCTACACGTCCTTACCAACACATACTTCATGCAGGCTTCCCTTGATGGACTACTAATGTGATACTTATTAACTGAACATCACCTTACGGGAGCAGTTAGGCTTTTAATTTACAGCCTTACGCAGCATTACTTCAATGCTTAGCATTGAATTTTCTCTTTCAGCCCCCACCATGGTGCCATACAACAAACTGCAGGATTTCATCTCAGAGCCAAGGCAAGCGAGTTATTAGTGGCTGCCAACAACAGAAAACATCCAGAAAAAAAGTGCCACAGTAGCTCCGTTTCTTTCATACATTTTACAACAAAGAAAGAAGATCCAGAGGCTTAAAATTTGAAAGGATGCAAAGAATTCATTGAGAATTTGTAAGTACAGTGAAACATAATTGTTGCTTTTTACAAAGCTCAGCCACATTTGCTGCTTTCCCCCTGTCCTTGCACACTCCAAGGCCATTTGGGATACGTGGCCAACACAGCAGCTTATTGAATAGCAGCAGGAGGTACTCACACTCAACCCACCTGGCCAGTCACTATGCTCCTTGCTGACTTAGGCATTTGCCAGCATGGTTTGGAGGCATCAAAACAAGCTGTGTGTTGGCACACACCTTGGGAGAAAATTAACAGCTTCTGCAAGCACTGGGTTACAACACAAACTCTGGTCGTCTTCCGAAGTGCCAAATATTTTGAACTTGGATCTCTAGTTACACGGGACAGTACTCCTGCTTTGTCTTTTCTGTAATGGCTAATCCAGGCTTGCTGAAAGGTGGAGCAGGGAGAAATTCATGGGGGGTGCCTTCACAGAGAGCATCAGCTGAAGTCTTCTGCCACTACAAGTTCACCAGGGGAGAGAAGAGAGCAGGGGAGGTGGCTGCCAAAGGTGGTGCTGCCATGTGGCCTCCCCCGCCAGGAGCTTTCCGCTGTTGTATCACAGCCACGACCATTCCATAGCCCCCAAATCCCAGTGACAGGGAGCACACGTAGTGCCCCCATGGCTTCCAAAGGAAGTGGCTGGTGGCCCAGCTTTCGTTTCACATGGTAGGGCACACTGCACACTTACTTCTCCTGCTTTGCAGGGAGCAGGGGAAGGGGAATCGCGTTACCACGATCACTAAGAGCAGAAGGAGTAGATCTGCGACACGGAAGGCCCTGTAAGGTGAAGTCACAGCACTCACCCAAGCCTGCAGGTTCCCTGAGCCTGCCACAAGCCATTACCCTTCTCACCAGTCAGGAAATGCTCAGCAGTTCTGGAGAACAGCCCAGTGTGCCACAGAACTGGAAAAATCCCCCCACCCGTACGGACTGCAAGCAAGGAGGGGGACTGGAAGATTTCAGCACTTATAAAAAGAAACCGGTTTTTACTTATGTTGGTTCCTGGAAGGTTGCAGTTGTTCCTCTCTCCTTTTTATGAGCCTGATCCTGTCACTTCTTCATCTTTAGAGCCATCTTTGTCTTTTTTCCTTCACCTTTAGTCATCTTTTACTTCTTTCTATGTTAGTCCTCCTCCCTGCTTGAAGGTGGGAGGGCTGTAAGCCTTATTCATGCCTGGTACAAAGCACAAGGGTGGTATATCAGAAGTCCAGATCTTACAGCTGCCTTCGAGCACCGCACAAAGGGAGTCTGCCAGGCCTCCTCCGCAGCTGGGCAAGATGTGGCCGAGAGTGGGGACCGCACCAAGGGCACTGGAGCCCAAAGATCCACTGCCTCAGTGTAAACCTACCCTGCTGTTACATCCATTAGGGCAAGCACAGTGAGCATGTGGGAATTTACCACCAGCAGATAATACTGCATATTTTTTGGGGGGTGGGCACGATGACAGATGCACCACCAAAACAAAAAACCCAACACCAAGCAAGAGCAGAGATAGAAATATTAGATCAGTCACTGCAATCAGTTGGCTGGAAAGCAAGCGTTGGCACTGCCATGCATTTGTTTTCAGCCAGCTATAGTTCTTGGAATTGACTTGTGCATCCAGATCAGGCTTTTATTTGTTCGTAAGCAACAAGTAGGTCTAGGAGAGATCAACCTGCTGAGAAGTCTCAACGGTTTACTAGTCTGGATAATCAGAGTCATGTATTTAAATACTCCAACAGTTCAAACATTTGCCAAAGTACAGTCTTTGCAAACATCTCCTTGGGAGAAGGTGGCACAAAGGTGCTAAACAGCAGACTTGTGCGCATTGATTAAATTATATGTTACATCAAGTCTAACACCCATTGCTCTCACACTGTCATAGATGTTAATGCAGAATGGATTAAGAATCTCAAATGGGGAGTCTTTTCTAAAAAGGATTGCACCAAATTGCTTCGGTACGACCTTTCAGTATTTAGCCCTAAAAGTCCAGTTTCTCTCAGAGAACTGGCAATGCTACCCTCTACTTACTACAGGTTATTACACAGACTTCTTTCAGCATAATTTCTTACGTACTGTCTACAGTCTCATGAAAAAGCATCTCACACCTAAGAAGGCAGCGCTATAAGCAGACATGTTATTATAGCCCTTCCCAGTGCAGCCAGCTTCTCAAGTGTTTCACAAAGACCCCTCAACACGGTCACATGTCCACCTCCAACTTTTTTTGCCATGGGAGCACCTGCAAGCGCTAGTTCCTGCCACCTCAAGCTGCCTCACAAAGTCCAGCCTGTGCCTTCCCAGCCCTCTGCTCTGCGATCGGAGCAGCCAGGGAACGGGGCGCTTCAGAAAGGGCAAACCTTCTTCAGTGGAGCACAGCCAAGACATTTTTCATTAATGCCTTACTCTTCTGCTTGCTGGACTCCACAGTGATCCGGATTTGCATTTCACTTGCCTCAGGACAAAAAAAAAAAAAAAAAAAAAAAAAAAAAAAAAAAAAAAAAAGAGCATTGATATGTGCCACAGCAGCTGCAAAATTATAGCCACAACGGAGGCTGTGCAAGGGAGCCAGGACTTAGGGAAAGGCAGCATCTTTCATTCAAGTAGCTGCTTTACAGTGCTTTCAGTGTTTGCGACTTTCAGGCATGCAAGGCCTTCTTGAGGCCTAAATCAGAAGCAAACATCAAATTAACCGCAGGTTTGGGGCAACTGTTCTGAGCTTAATTCAGCATATTCAACCAGACAATTTGAGAGAAGTCTGTTTTCTGCATTAGGCATTCGTAACGAGTGTAAACTATAACTTGCTTGTGGATATTCTGCATCACCTGGCTCATCCAGATTTTGGCCTCTGTGCTTCCTTAAGCCAGGAGAGAGGGCGGGCTGGCTGTCAAGGAATAATCACAAGGGAGAAGGGAAGGCAATGTCACTACTGCATTCTAGAGGAGATAACAGAACAATGGTTGAGCCATCAGTTTTGAAAAAGCAGAGCTACTTTGGTCTGGCTCCATTCAGTCAGATGCAAATGGCACCTAAAATGCCAGTGATGCCAGGGCAGGGATTCCCAAACTACTCTGCACCACCCTTCTGAGATAGAAGAGATGAACTACAAAGGAATGCAACCAGACACCGTGGCTTCAGGTGAAGTGGGTGGGATAGTTTAGGGTTTTTTTTTGCCCCCC